ACTCTTCGGCTCTCATCAACGTCTTAAATCTCATAGTTCTCACCTCCTCCACCCACCCGACCTCCCACTAAAACTCTCCAACCCATACGCAACCTCGGCCTCAGGTTCCACCCCCAATTATCCTTCCTCCCCACATCCGGTCCCTCACCAGCACCGCTTTCTTCCACCTCCGACGCATCACCCGTCTCCGCTAATAACTCTCCCCAAAAGCCGCTGAAACCCTGGTCCATACCTTTGTCACCTCTCGGCTGGACTACTCCAACGCCCTCCTCGCCAGTCTCCCATCCACTACCATCCATAGAACGCAGATCATTCAAACCTCTGCCGCCCGCATTCTCACCCACACCAAACCCTCTCCCCGCTCCCCCAGTCCTGGTCAGACTGCACTGACTCCTGTCCCAGAGAGGATCGACTTCAAGATCCTCGCCCTCGTATTCAAGTCCCTGCGCTCCTCTGCACCCCCGACCTCTCTGACCTCCTCTTTCCTCAGCACAGTACCCGTTGCCTTCGTTCCTCCGGGTCTGGCCTCCTCCTCGTCCCCCGAGTCCTCCGCTCCACCCTCGGCGGCCGTGCCTTCAGCCACAATGCCCCGAGGCTCTGGAACTCCCTCCCTCACTCCCTTCACCTCGCTCCTTCCCTTCCCATTTTCAGGTCTCGGCTAAAGAGCTTTCTTTTCGACCGCACCTTTGGTCACCTTCCTCCCTCTCCCCCTCCCTACCCACCTCCCCCCCTCCCCCTGGCTCCCCCCCTCCCCTGGCTCAGCCCCCGGATCCGTTACTGTGAAGCTCTGAGACGCCGTCTGGCGTGGAGGGCACTATATACATCCAAGTTGTTGTTGTTGATCGAGTGGCTAGTCGGCCTGAGAGACGCTGTATAGTTGTTACGCTATAGTTATCTCATACTCACTCTCTTCCCCCCCCCCCCCTCTCTCTCTCTGTCTCCCAGGGGGGCGAGGTTTAGGGGTGCGAGTACCAGCGCTGTTGGCTGGGGGAGGCAGTAAGCTGTCCCTCTCTCTCTCCCTGCGGCGGGACATTGCGGAGGCGGGCGGGGAGCAGTGCAGTTGCGAGTCGTTGGCCATGGAGAAGCTCCTGTCCCCGGCGGCAGGAGGCCAGCGACGGCCGGGGGGGGCCAGCGAGACGGTGCGGCCCGCGGACCACTCCTCGCTCCAGCAGCTGGGGGGGCACCTGAACCCCGACGTCTCGTACTCGGCCTCCAGCCTGAGCCCCTCGCGATCCCGAGAGAGTTTCTACAGCGTTCGCCGAGTCTCGTCGCTGGACGACATCGAGGGCATGAGGGGCGACTTCGAGAGAAAGTTCCGTGGCCACCACTCCAGCGCAGGTAAAAGCTTCCCCCCCCCACCCCACTCTGATGTTTCCCCCCCACACCACCCCGCTGCTCCCCCCCACTCTGATGTTTCCCCCCACACCACCCCGCTGCTCCCCCCCACTCTGATGTTTCCCCCCACACCACCCCGCTGCCCCCCCCACTCGTGCCTCTTCATCCCCCCACGAGCGGACATTAAAGACCTATTTCAGATGCTATGTTAAACCGAGGTCTCTCCCCCCCCCCCCCGGCGCTGGCTGGAGCCTCAGCCTGGACTGTGAGCTCAGAGACCCCGACGTGTGTGCGTGAGGGGCTCGAACCCATAACTTCCTGACTCAGAAGCAAGACCCTGACATGGTGTGTGTGACCCCCCCCACTGCGCGGTGGTGCTGTGTGACGCTGTGTGACCGCCTGTCTCCCCAGGGGCCGTTAACCACCTCAGGTTGACCCCCAACCTCCTGAACTCCACCTCGGACTCGGATCTGATGAAATACCGAATCCCCCACATCACTCTCAACTTCATGGAGCTTCACCGGGACCCCACAGTGGCCCCCGGCCCCGAGGAGATCATCGCCTCCAGCAAACTGAAGGATCGCACCCACAACGTGACCGAGAAAGTCACCCAGGTACAGCGAGGGGGGGTCAGTGTGTAGGGGGTGTGTGTGTCAGTGTCACAGTGTGTGTGTGTGTGTCAGTGTCACAGTGTGTGTGCGTGTGTGTGTGTCAGTGTCACAGTGTGTGTGTGTGTGTGTGTGCCAGTGTCACAGTGAGGGGTGTTGTGTGTGTATGTCAGTGTCACTGTGTGTGTGTGTGTGTCAGTGTCACAGTGTGTGTGTGTGTCAGTGTCACAGTGATGATGTGTGTGTGTGTCAGTGTCACAGTGTGTGTGTGTGTGTGTGTGTGTCAGTGTCACAGTGTGTGTGTGTGTGTGTCAGTGTCACAGTGTGTGTGTGTCAGTGTCACAGTGTGTGTGTGTGCGCTTACATTTATGATT